TTTAACCCACTTGCTGAATTCAAACTCCTTACGTTCCACATACCAATATGTAAATCCCTATTTTTCAACTTGCTCCATGAATCTCCTAAAGCAGTCCCCACCCGGTGATGCGAACGTGGGACTAGTTTACCTTAGGGAGATCCATGACTATTTTTGGTGTATGGTGAACTAAAGAAATGTGAGTAGGGCGTTCAATCCTGCGTAACACTCTCCAGCAAGTCTGGAGGACCCCTCTCATTGTTGGTCAGCGATTCCATCGGACTTAGCCAGGAGAAACTTCCAAGAATTTCCACCGACCATCCTCACATCCAGCACCTGTGGGACGCTTCCCATACACGGTAATGAGCCCGAGCATGGAGCATTAAGCATTATTAAGTAAAATTAAAAAGCTGTCTGAACACTACAATATTTACATTAAAAATATTTATAATTTTCTTTCTGCTCTTCATATTGAGAATATCTATAGTTTAAAACCATCACAAGACAACACAAATCATTATTGCTTGTAAACTGTAAAATAAGCTTGTAAAATTTATTTACTTTTCACATATTATAATAGTATACATGTTTTTATATATTCAGTAACTAAAATTAGAGAGTAAGGAAATGAAAGATATATTAGTTGCAACCTAATTCCGCATGAGTTCAGTCAGGTTGGCAACTAATAGTAGGGGAGTTATAGTTTCTTTATTTCATGTTATAAAAAAGGGGAACTAATGTTATTTATATTTGATTTATTTTTATTTATTTTTTTTTTTTTCTCATAGGTGTCATAGACTACAACTTCCTCTGCTTTCGGGAGGCAATAGAACAAGTATTTGAAGTCAGAAATAAATTGTGTAATACTGCAAATGGATCATTGTGATTAGTGAATGATTTTTTATAGAGCAATCTAATGTTTTTACTTGTGATTCAGGTTCATCTGTTTTTGCATGACTCACAGATGTTGATTGTAATTGTTGAAAATAGCACAAAATGTATGACAGTGGCATGTATGTTCATTCGAATCTCAGATGCCACAGCCATGTGAATCAAAACAGGCATCCATGATATATTTTGTATTTGACAATATCTAACCTATAGAGCAATGAAATTTATTAGCGACTATTATGTATTTGTTATTATTTATTTATTTATATAGCTTATTTATATAATTATTATGATAGATAAATTATTTGCGGCACCATGTAATTTTAATTGTATTCTTTGTAATTTATCAAATTTTGTCTTAATATTTATAAGATATATATAAATCAACATTCTCTAGTTAATTGTTATATTTGTATATAGAATTATATACATACCTTATGTTATGTACATAAGAAAGAAAATTAATATATATATTGATATTAATACTCATAATGCTGTATTATTTATTTGATGATTAGCCATTAATTTTTTATGAAATTGTTGGCATATAAAAATAATATATTTTCCAGATGTTACAAATAGTTTGTTTTTTTAAATCCCATTATTACTTTGCTACCGGGTAAGAAATTATTGAGTTATCTCAAATCTGGTTTTCAACAGATCTATATGTTTCAGACCCCTTAGTCCAAAAAAAACAAAAACATTTTCAGCCATTGGTCTGATGTCGAAAATATTTATTTTGAATGTTTTCAGTCTCCAATGTCTAAGTATTCAATATGGCACCCTTTGCGCAATGATTGTGTTTTTCTGTAATAGATGCGTGTAAAAATGACTAATTATTTTGATAAAACTTGCCTAAAGTCTTCTTTTAAGGGTCCTTTATCGTTTCAAATATTTCTCAGAAAAAGAAAAGAAAAAAGTTAAAGAGAAGAAAATTTTATTTGTGCATAGATCAAAAAGTATACATACAATTTATGTGAAATTATTCTTAGAGACACTTGAATGTTAAATCAAAATTTTTTTTAAAAAATCTTTTAATTAGACCTGTATTAGCAAATATATTATATTTTAATTTGAACCAATGTGTTTAATTAAGAAAATTTGGCAATAGCACAAATTTTCAATTTTGATTCATAGTTGAAGATAAGGTTATATCAACTAAAAGGCCAGAAGCACAGAATTTTTCTGGTGCATATTTACAGAGAGAATGAGCATTAAGAAAAGGTGTTAGGCCCGGAGAGGAGACAACACTACCTTATGATATACCTGTGCCTAGCTCATATTGAATGGGTGTTTTATACTTTTTAGTATAGAATAAATAGTGTTTTCATCTTCAAAACTCACCGAAGAAATATCTTTCTGATTTTTTCTCTCACTCTGTCTTCTCTGAATACAAACATTTAGTTTAATATGTATTATATTAACCTCTATAACAGTATCGTGATTGACAGACTTATGTCACACTACAGTGGACTAGGCCTCACCTCTCAGAAAAATTGTTATATGAAGTCTTTAGCTGAATATAAACCTTATTTTATTATTTAAAAAGTGCATTATCAATCTTATATACATAAATTGTGGTTTTTAGTTTCAAAACTGATTACATACACTTTTAAACATTTTTCAGGAGTGATAAAAAAAGATTTCGTTTTTAAAAAAAAATCAATTTAACAATTTTTTTTTATTTATTATTTTGGTAAATCAATTTAAACAAGAAATATTGAGATTTTTTTGTGAATTTGATCAGAAAATATAGATTTCTGGTTGAGAAGTGTTTTAAAACATCACTATTATTAATTTTAACAAGATATACTCATAATATTAATTTTTTATATACACAAATTTTCATTGATATCTTGAACATTTCTAAGATTCATAGAAAAGTCTCTGCCTTTTTCTAGGTTTAATTAATTGAATTTCAGTTTTTCATTATGAAAGGGTTAAAAATAGGGCAAATATTCAAAGATAGGATTTTGGGCTCAAACTATCTAAGACTATTTTGATAATGAATGAGAATGTTAATTATCAACAACAAACAGTGTTTGATAAGTAACCAAATCTTTTGGTATTGACTTTTGGAGGATTTAGATGGATTTGAAACAAACATCATTTCTGGCATTGAAAACTTTGGGAAATTTAACTTTTTTTTGTTGGAAAAATAGATTTAACTAAACGCCTCATTTATCACTTGCCTTTATTGCAACTCAAATGCATGTAACTTTTTTCCCATATAAGTACCCAATTTTTTAAGTACTTTAGACATTCCGATGGGAACCTCCTTCATTTTACTTTTTTGAATAAATTAAATTTTTAAAAATATCTCCCTGACCATTTCCAGATGCTTTTTTAATATGTTTAAATTGTCTACAAAAGCCTATCTTAAAATAAAAGAGGATTATATGAATGTTGGTTCTATTTTTTAAAGATTTTTATTCATAACCAAAAATTGCAGATAAAATTCATTATAAACCTGTAGAAATGGACCACAATTTTCTTTATTTGTTAGCTGATCAATTAAATCTTAATAGTTGTGTGATGAAACATTCTCAATTTTGCGAAGATTCTAATCTATTACAAAGGGTGTTTTTATCTACAAATACTTCGATCTGTGATATTTTGATGAGACCTCAATGTATTATTTTAGGTCTGTTTGATTGTATCTTATGTTACTTTGAAGTTAACAACTATGTCTTGATGCACTTATGGATAAAGATATGATCTAGTATGGGCCTGATCTTGTCGATCTATGGCACATAAACCTTTAGATATAGTTGAACAGGATGCTGGATATTTTATAGTATAAAATAGGAAGGAGTGTTATATATACTTAATAATTTATGTATTGAAAAATATGAAACATTGGTATAAAGAATTTAATAAGTGTTTCCAAAAACATTCTCTTTCTTTTTGTAGGCATGGAGGGGGTGCTTACTCTTTTTTCTCTAAATCATTGTTGGTTTGTCTGTCCACCTCAAGCGTACCTGGGATTGTGTTCACATTAAATCCCTAGAGCTGTTAAGCCTAGTTCACACTAGTAGACATGTTTGTTCACTGGTCTTGGGGGCAATTTCGGTCTCTGAGACATGTCTCAGTTTATCTACATAGACATGTCTATTGCCCACCTCCTGTCTACAGGCCAGTCACGAGACCAAAAATCACAGATCTAAAGCCTCCCAATCGGAATAGGAGACATTATGCAACACTAACTTGTGCAACATTCTGACAGCATGGATGTCTAGAGGTGAGGCAAGTCTCAGTCTTTCTCCAGCCGAATGGTTGGTTCGCCTTTTTACAGTTATTTTGAAAAATTGTGGTCTAACGAGAAAGTTTTAAAACTAATTGAACATTAAGTAGTGTCTTTCAGTCTTAATTTATTTAATAATGAATCACCGAATCTAGGTCCTTCTGCGAGCACTTTGAGCATCCATCAACGTTTACATTTTCTCATTCTTTCACTTGTAATTAGCATTAAACAGTAACTCATTCCACACAAAACTATATGTCCAACACGCTGGGTTGCGAAGATGAGACTGAGAAATTCACACCATAGTGTGGAGCTAGAAGAGACAGAAAGGTGTCTCAAGACTGTGTCGACTAATGTGTACTAGGCTCCAAGTTCATAAATATTTGTCTATTTTCTCAATAGCCCTACCTAGCCATTTCTGGCCTACTAATGGGTTGTTCTAAAGGTATAACCAAACATATTCTAACCAGAGTGGAAGGTCGATTCATTTCCTGTGTCCACCATGTAATAAATTTCTACCCGCCCGTGTTGGATATGAATTGCGCATGTTAAACTCAAGAATATTAAAGTTTACGCTTTAAGCACTGAAATAGATTTTACTCGAAAACAGGACCAATAAAAAAAACATTGTTTGATACAAAAATTTATAATTTAATTTCATTAATTATTATGAATTCATAATTCAATTTTAACACATAAAGAATGAACACACAAAGAAAACTAAAAAAAAATATATATTATACAAAAATTTGATACTAGTGGCTAATTGCTAATTTTTTTTTAGATATTATTTTAAATATAATACAAATAATAATCATAAAGTAATTACATATTTATCAAGACATGGATTCAAAATCAACATTTACTCTTTCAGTTACAATGTGAATCATGGTTTCCAAGAAATATTATGACAGCCTTGCAATGACCTTTTCAGATTTCCACTATCTGCCCAGGGAGAACTATGATAATTATCATCATCATCTCGATCTAATTTCTTTAATTCTTCTTCACGCTTATATGAATAATACATCATAGCTTTCCTTTCTTCCTCAGAATAGCCAGGTTCTGTAACTGGCTGATCATCAACAGACCTAGACAGTTTAACAGTCACTTTTGTTTTTTCATTAGCGCCAACATAATCTTTTAATATTTTACCTCTAAACATCTGTTTATTAAAGCACCATAAACAAGCACGGGAGCTGTCAATGACTTCTTTTGCTGCTTGAGTTCCAGTTAAATCTTCATTATTTTCTAATTCTTTACGAATGACATCATGAGGAGGCAAGTTCATCGGATACACAATCAAAACCACACCTCTTAAAATATCCAGAGCTTCTTGAACTGTTTTTAAGTATAGACATTTATTTATCTCGATTAACTTTTTAGAAACCATTGACTTAACTTCTTCAACTGCCTCTTTGAGAGTCTTTTCCATATGCTCATTTGGTTTTTTACCATTCCTTCTGCCCACTGGGTCTTTATTGTAGGAATAACCACCATTTGGAATGCAGATATCACCCCATTCATCTTTTAAGCCAAGTTTCTCTACTTCTGATTCGTACACATCCAATATCTCAGGTGGAAATAGGGTACCGTGCTTGGATAATTCTTCAATTTCATAACAAAGTCTATTTATTTTTAATATTCCATTATAAATCGCACACACTTCTTCTATTACCTTGTCTATACTGCAGTTTACACTAGTTTCGTACAAAAAGTGGCTATCTTTATTATTCTTAATATGCAATAACACCATTTCACAAATTACCTTCAAAAAAATTCTGATTCTTAAAATTTATGAATTTCTTTATATCGATCAAACGTATAAATCGGTTTCCATAGAAACGAAACTACTTCAATTCATCATTGTAATATAATTTTTAATATATGACAATGACTCAATTGATAAACCAATAATAAGAATAAAATACCAGTACAATAATAATTTCTACTACGTTGAAAACAAAATAAGGATTTGACAGAATAGCCTCAGCAGAGGAGAGATGAAGTTCATTAACGAGCTATTCAGGATAAGGAGCTAATGTAGTTCAAAGGGTCTTCCATATTGGAACATTTTTCGTACGATAGCTAAAAAAATATTATAATCAATCTTAAACAGCTTATGTTAAGCCAATATTTTAGTACAAAACATTTTTTTCTAAACCCGATTTGAGCTTACCTGTTTTCCTTGCTGAAGTAGCTCAATTATGTTTATATTCATTATTGAAGTACATAATATACATTACAGCTTATAGATAACTTATTTTTATAAACTTAACGACTTAATTACAAAACGCTAAACATAAATTAATGTTTTGAAGTTTGATAAAATATACTTTCATATATTTTTACAGTTATTGTATTAAAAAATGTCTAACTAATTATACAAAAATAGCATAAATTAAAAAATGTATTAAAAGTAATAGCAACTTATTTATTTTATTCTCTTCTTCCCTTACCTCTCGGCAAAACAGATTTTTGGGAGAAATAGTTGATACTTCTACCATTTATCTTCTGGTTCTTTGGTCTGCGTTAGAGGAGGTTGAAGTGATCATCCCCCAACACAGGCGGATCTACTGGGGATTTTTGGGCTGAAGCCCTTCCCCTCCCCCCCCCAAAAAAAATGGTAAAATATAAACATGTTTTATGAAAAAAAGGATCTCTAAAAGTATTATTGTTCATCTAATTACATTTAATAGGACTTCAAGAATCACTTAAACACAATCTCATGTAGGTAGTTAATTCCTTTCTTTGTTCCGAAGTAATTATTCTAGTACATACATACAAAAACAAAACTTTCGGACTGAAGTCGCCCTCCCAATATGAAATCTTAGATCTGCTGGTGTCTCCCACTAATTCCTCCCACCCATACACGAATGCTTCGTAGTACGGGTAATTATGCTTACTTGCTGAGGAAAATCGTCCTCCGTGATGATGTATAGTCCACCGGACTGGTTTCCCTCAGTAGTTTGGCTCTTATTGTTTCAAAAGTGGTGCAAGTCGTGACGATATGCTCAGCACTTTCTGGAACACTACAACATAGAGGGTTAATTTATTTTCCAAAGCCATGAAACTTGCGGAAACTCCCATGCCCTGTCATGAATTGCGACCCCCAATAATCAGTGAGGACTCATTTCGTTTCCAACCTTGAATAAACGGTAGGAAAGTATTTCGTTAAGGTAGAGCCTTTATGAAAGTAATAGCAACTTTATTATCAATGAGAGAATGAGGGTTGTTAGAAGTGTGAGATTCCTTAACCTTAAAATTGAACTGGAAACTGTTGGAGGTAGCAGGCCAAGGAAGATGTCGATGTAGAAACTGTGACGACAGTAATTTGTAAGACTTTTTTTTACCACATCAAGGAGAAGAAATAGATTCCATAGTTTTACCCACAAGTTTGTTTTCCGGAGTGTAATTAATAATTTCCAGGAGACTGTGAAATCTGAAGGTGTGGAGGAACTGTACTCCACGACTTCGTTTGATGCATTTTAAATTATGCAATTCCAAGCCTTCAGTGGTTTTTATAGTTAACGTATTTTATAAAAGCTGTACCAAATTTGGTATTACTGTTCAAGTGTCACTCTACTTTGTTTGATGGAACAATGTCTCATGATGACACTATAAATGGAAACCCAAAAATGATCGAGAGTCTCCAAAACTAACGGAAGTGACGAACCGACTGGTAAGCTTCGACTTTAACTGAAAAGAGCCTGTGCGTGAGGAGTTTGTGCATCCAATTAGAGCAAGCGGGAGTTGGAAGTAGGGATGTAATTAAAGCTAATTAACGTCCCGATTTCAACTGAAAAGGATCAGTAGGGAGTTTGCGAAGTCGTAATTCGCGATCTAAATAAAGGGAGATTATATTGGAACACGTGACAATATTTGGATATTCTCAAAATCCCAAAGCGTGATCATGAAATTTTGGCCCACTCCAGAAAGTGGAGTTACTCTTGTACAGAGGTACCGTTTACACATTTAGAAAGATATTTCCTACTTAAATGTTAGCACCCCATGATCACCTAGCAGCCCCCGTGATCTCCTAATGTAGTCATATCATTAGAGTGCTACCATTGGGTAGTTACTCAGCAAGTGTATTCATGTCATTATATCTATTATGTCCAAATTTACTAAATGTATTTATGTAATACAGTTGTAAATGTCATTAAGAAAACAAAAATAAAAAAAATGTTAGCAAATTTTGAGCTGTTTGATACTAAATATAATCTATATAGCTTTGAAAAGGAGATATTTAGCATAAACCAAGAAATTTCCGTAATTTCAATGGTTTTTGGAGCACTGCAGAGCAGGGGTGCCTATTCCCCAATGTTGATGGTGCATGAACCACCTCCCTCTCTCCAAAAATTGTATTACTCTCCTCCTTTTAAAAACTGTGCAAGTTAATGTAGGCTCAGATACAAGTCGTAGATCATATACAATTACACTTTCAGTGGTCCCTATGTCCCTTGTTTTCCTGCTTGTTCTCTGTTTTGAAACTTTTCACTCCAAAAATTCATAGTCCCGTCGAAATGTGCCCCTCTCAAAAATCCAAAACATAGTCAAAATGAGCCCCTCTCAAAAATTTTGATGGCGCAACTTACACCATGAAACAGCCATATGAGGACCTCTGCTATGGAGAATCCACAAGTCTTTTATTGTCAAAAACATGGATTTTTTTATGCTTACAATACATCTAACAATGTTTTAAAAAAGTTTAATTACCGGTCCTTTTGCAAGGTAGCATGTCTAATTTGACTGGGCTATAAGTTATTTACAAAAATAAGAAAATTTAGAGAGATGTACAAACAAGTCAGAGAAGAAGTTGGTGGAGGTTGAGAATTTATCTGAATCTTATCAGGTAATCATTGAATTTATTTTTCTTTATTTATTTGCCAAGACTACAATATGTTTTATACGTTTTTATATGTACATTTATCCAATGTTTTACAAAATATATACTGATAAAGTTAATTAACACAATTTTATAGAATTTATTCATGCTCCATTGCTGAAACGTTCAAAAGTACATCTTTTACAACAGTTAATTTATAATGCTGAGAGTTGTGAAAATTCTTGAAATATTTTTGCTGTGATTTGAATTAAGGAATCCATTTAAAAATTCTGTTCTTCATTTATGATGTTCTTTACTGCATAGATAAAGTATAAAAATTTAATGTTGATCCTATATTAACTTTATCGGTCTTACATATCTTTATCCGTTATAAAAAATGAAATAACAAATAATGTTTTTAACTCATTTAGTATTGCTAATAAATTATCACTGCAGTCTAAGAGTTCTACTAGTCCCTCTTCCACATATGGCAGATAACCCACCACTATGGTGATTTCTTTTCTGCTCCTTTGCTGGGTGTATTTGGCTGCCACAAGATCACTAGAAAAAAATTGGCATAAAGGCAGCAGTTTTAGTTTTTTTTTTTGTGGATTGGTGGATACAGAAATAATACTGTACTCTGGTATAACTGAATCCCTGAGCCTACCCTCAAGTAAATAAGGTTCTTGTATTAAGATAATATCAATATGCTCAACTTTTATGTACCATTGCAGTACATCAGATGCTGTAATGCAGTAGTGGAGATAGATCTGCAGCAGTTTCATCTTTTATTGATTGGAGTTGGAGGGAAGCAGGCCTCCGGAAGGAGCCGCTGTAGGGTTTCACCATTAGACTTTTTTCCAGACCATTTTCACTTTGTCATTTGGTTTTGTCCCGCCGACCGACTCCGCTTTCACCCTTTCACCTGGCTTTGAAAAGAGCTGAGAAGCCGAGACCATTCAATTGACTGATTTTGGATCTGGAGAGGTTTTAGATAATAATCCTGAGATAGTGCCTTCCCAGGAAAGAAGGGCCCAACCCTGGTGATTATTGTAAGTTCACTAGCATCACAGCCTCGAAGAGTTAAGCCTTTCTCAATGGAGAAGCTCGGCGTTATGTCCTTAAACCATAAAACAGTGTGATCGTCTAGACAAGATACAAGGCTGCACCATCAAACCTAGGGTGGATATCTCCTCCAATGTGCAACTCTTTGATCTTTCCTGTGATAGCTTACTTAAGTACCTAGCACTGGTTGAAGCTCAACTGGGTTTTCTTCAGCCTCCCTCGTTTCTTCGCAACAGTTGCAGAAATTCCAAGGGATGATCTGGAGTGTTTTCCCTTTGGACCTCATGGTGAGCCAAGTCAGTAAATTCTAAATCATAACAGGACTTTAAGAAATATATGTATAGGCCAATTACTATAGAAAATAAATATTATTCATTTTGTTGATGGCCATGCATAATCTCAAATTCACAAAAATTAAGTTATTCAATGCTTTGGTACTTTTCAGCCAATATATGATCCAATTACAATTCAACATTAAAAAAAAAAAAAAAACTCAGTATTCATAAATGGTGATGTAATATAAAATACCTTTCAGGAATTCATGTTCATTTAGACTCGATGATTTTGTGAAGTAAAAATAATAATTTTTTTGAGAGAGGTGAGGAAAACATGTAAAAAATAACAAAATTTAAAAAAAAAACTTTATTATTAAAAGGATAAACCCGAAAATGATAGTTCGTTTATGATCATTTGACTCTAACCAGCTTACAGAAATACATGGGGCCAAAGTTGTTAACTAGAAAAGGAACTATAAGATGCCCATAGCGAAGATCAATATTGCTGTATTTATACAGAATATTTGTAGGCTCCAGAGCTTCTTTCATGTTCCTAAAATTAAAAAAAACAAAAAACATTTGAGATAAATAACCTCAACAAAACTATATATTTTGTAATTTTAATTAAATTGTTACAATTATTCTTACATTACGATTATTTCACAACCAGTCTCTTCATGGACTCTTTTAAGAGCCATGTGAACTACACCATCATTCTGAATAGGTGAAAGACTACAAGTTGAATAAACAACAGTACCACCAACAGCAACAATCTTCAGTGCTTGCCTAATAACAGAAAATATAATTATTAAGCTATTTTTTAACTCCGGGTCACCAGTGTTAACAGCAGCTTATTTCTAGATTTAAAAAAAAAATTTAAATAAGTAATTCAATGACAAATATTATTTATCTTACATTAATATCTCAGATTGTAGTTCTGGAATTCTTATTCTTTCTTTGAGTCTACTAGCTTTAAAAATATTATTATCATCTTCCATCACTGAATGCCTATCAGTAGTGCATGGGACATCAACCAAGATCTAAAAAAAAAAAAAAAGAAAATCATAAGTAAGTAAAAAAAAAGAATAAGGCTATTCTTGATCAATTTCATGTAGTGGTGGTTAAAAAACTTTAGATTATGAACTGTGGAAACCACAAGATACTTTCTGATATATATACTTAGGTTTTTATGTTTAAAAGATCTCTCAACAACTTTATACAAATCATTCAAAGGTAATCAAAAATAATTTGGACATACACAAATTTAAACAATGTCACTAATCATTCGTAAAAACTAGATGAGTACTTAAAAATTGTCAAACATGCAATTTACTTGAAAAAGCTAAACAAATTACCTTATTATAAACACCAAATGCATCAATATGTCTAGCATCAAGCAGTGTCAATTTTATTTCATTACCTGCAAGCTTCTTTGGATAGTCATAAAAAAATTCTTTAAAAACAGAAGTAACTCTTTTTAATCGTGATTCAGATATATCATTACACGTAACTGTTTCTAAAAATCAAATCATACTATAAATAGCATCTATATTTGATCCTTCTTTAAACAATGAATAAAAAAGTAATCAATGAGCAAATGGAGTATTGTTTTAATATATATAATTTTCTAACTTGGATATAATGTTTGAAGACACAAGAAGCTTTTACCACCAGGTGCCGCGCACATATCTAAAACTGTATCATCTGGCTGGAGATCCAAGGCAAGCACAGGGAGTAATGAGCCACCATCCATCAAGTAATAATCTAAATAATAAAAATTATATTAATAAAAGAGATATAAAAAAATAAAATAAATAACCAATATGAATGACAACAGAATAAATAACCTGAAACTCCAGTAGATCCAGATTTTGGAGGTGGAAAAGATTGGACATTGCCAGGTTCATAAGTATATATACTTAAATGCTCAGGAAACATCAAATTACTTTCATCTAATATGATAGGTGTAAAATTTGAACTGTCTACATAATATGAATAATGTTGTGATTCTTGCAGATAATCACTCGATCCTTTTATTTTAGTGGCTGGTACATATTCATGTAAAGAAGAAGTACTTACTGAAGGGTCAATGAACCTATCACTAGCCGTACTAAAAAATATATAAAGATATAGACCTAGCAGAAACATGTATATATACATAAATTTTATAGATTTGTCTCTTATAGTAAATTATTGCAAAACAGATTTTTTATTTACTTTGAGTATTTAGTATCAGGTAACTCAGATGGATACAAATCAGAGATTTCTTCTTCTAACTTTTCCTCACTAATTTTTACAAATTTTTCATTTACATCGTTTAAAGTAGTTTTTCTTTGTATTTTTTTTCTTATAGACATATTGAGGTTTCGATATTCAAAGAACTTATTAATATTAATAGCACCATGATTCTGAAAAAAATATTAAATTAAATTATTTATGGATTTAAAAAATCTCAATATTAGAATTAAAATTTTTGTTTCACCTCTAAGAAAGTAGCAGCCTTTTCTTTGTCACCATAATTATTTAATACAGCAATATATTTTTGTTGAGAAAGTAATCCTAATCGAATCGAAGGCCATTTCTTCTCAAATACTTTTCCATATAAATCATCAAAATGTTCTAATGCTTTAAGTTTAGCAGTTTCTTTGGATTTTCCTTTTGAAGCCTACAGAAATAAACCAAAAATTTTGAAATTATTTTGCTTTAGTTCTTAATAACAGATGAATAAAGTGCCTGCACACAAGGCCAGTAGCCTAAGTCTTTACAGGACAATCAGACAAAAAATCTTTACAGGAAGACTTCTGTTACAATTGGACACCAGTAGTCTGTTGTATTTTTTGTGCACATCTTGTGTATATCTGAGGATTTTGATCAAGGGTATGAAGAAGCTTTTAATCAGGCTATGATTAAATCATACTTTCTTTGATTGAAAAATAAACTAGTGAACCTACTAATTCTTTATTCACTCAGTCTTCTACAATCTCAGATATATAAATATATTTTCAATTACAACAGTCAAATACTCAATTTTACATGATGAAATCTATTTAAACTTCCAAATAATGTTTTTTTTTTTTTTTACCAGTATAGTTGAAAATATAATTATCAATAATATAAATGATATTATATGATATGATATGATTTATTTTTACATATGCCGACGTTTCGACCTGAAGTTCAGGTCTTCATCAGGGCTTTCTCCAAAAGTGTTGAAGGGAGAATATATCAATAATATATATTAAATTTTAAAAAGTCTTTGAGGATAATGTATTAATGATAGATTTTTAAATTGTGAAATATAATAATAAAATCCTAAAGATAAAAAAAAAACACCTTTAAACTTTGTAGAAAATTTAATAATAAAATATTTAATAAATAAGGAAGACTCAGTACATGTATTATAAATTAAATATTAAGGGAGACTAAGTCATATTAATTTTCACCTTCTTTTTTTTTTGTAGCTCCTAAATTTTAAAAATAGCAAGAAATAGCCACAGCATGGTCGAGAAAATAGCCTCCCTCAATAGTATTTGTTACCTAAATATTTATATTTTAATGTAAATAGGTAACCAAGTTTATTTATGTCAAGTATAGAACAACCACCAATTGATATTTAATTAATATATAAATAAATATTTGTAACTTATTAATTGAATTGCAGCAATCCTGTTATTGGGCACTTGATAGCTATTGACTGGCTATTAAAACAGCAATAATCCTAGCACATGGAGATTCTAGAGGGATGTTTAGTGGCCTCATGTGGTAAGAATATAAAACTCTTAGGATGAGTTTATCCTGGAGATAACATTGTTAATAACATAAGTCATAAATATGTTAATGATACTTTTGAAAGATTCGCTCTCAAAAATGGGTATATAATTTTTGCAATGAATGACAATACACACTATATTTGGCATAGTGTACTGGTAAGATTTTGGTGTACACCCATCTTAAGGGAACAGAGGAATCACATTTCTGATGACAATAAACAAAACTAAATCAAAATAAACTTATTAAAGAGAAAGACATAATATTCTTAATATTTATTTTGAAATTGAAATAAAATAAATCTTTAAAAAAAATTGTAATAAAGTAGTTATTTGATAAATAGTTAAAGTTGTTAATAAAAAAACATAAAGATGCTGAAAATGAAAATCTTACTGTTTAATACCTTGCTACTTTTTGTTCTTACAACCAAAAAGGATAAATGATCTTTTTTTAATAAGGAAATGTATTTTTTAAGCATTTCTACTGATCATATTTTGAATTATCTGTACAAATGTAACCTAAAGGAAACCTTTCCTGGTAACCTTTTATCTTCTTATCGCTTTATTAATGAAAAATGAAACATACAGCATTGAATAATGCTTAAATAAATATTTAAAAACTTAGTGATTAACATTTTTTATAAAAGCCATTTCACATGAATTATAGATTCGTTCAAAACCTTAATTGATGATGGAGGCATACTATCAGTTGTTTATAGATAAATATACATAATCAATCTTAGTTTGGGTTTGGGCTCTGTTCGGTACTGTATTCTCAGTTATAAGAACTGATGTAACGTAATTTTGTATAGTTTGTCAGAATATTGTGATGATTTGACATTTACGGTTTTATATTTAGATAAGTTGATAAACTTCATCATGAGTAAAGGCGTGATTTTAATACGTATAGTGTGCATTACACTATTTTCTCCACATATTTGTCAATTTTGAACCCAATCTGAAGTTCAATATTTAAGTTCTTCTTTTCACAGGATGAATTTAAATTTATTTTTCTTAAAATGGCTTGTGAGGAAGAGGTCTTTTCTAACCTAGTGATTTCAGTTGTGCTTTCTTTCTTGATTTATTAAAATTTCTAGCCATGAACTTCAGGCTAGTTAGATGGAAGTTGGCAAAGGTGAAGATGTTGGAAATGATGGGGTCAGTCTAGAGACGGTAAGAGTACTTCACCAAACAGTTGTTACTTTAAGAACAGCCTTAGAACAGTCAAAAAACGAATTACATTTATTAAGGGAAAAAGTAAAAAATAACATAGATGTGGAATCATATTCCAGGACAATAGCAAGCCTTTCTATTGAAAATCATATATTACGTCAGAAAGTTTTAGGATCAAAAACAGACCTAGTTAACAGTGAAACAATGTCAGAGGATAGCAAAGCTGGTGTAGAATCAGACAGCAGTGGTGAAAATGATGTTTTTGAAGATGAAGTTAAAGATAAAATAAACGGATTAACCTTGAATTCTGATAAATCAAAAGATCCTAATTTTAATAAATCAAGTGAGAGTAATCTAGATCAAACATTAGACACTCCTCGTATAAGTAAAGGCGATTCTGAAGACAGTGAAGAAGTTGATGATATTGAACTTATTTTCACAACTGACGATACCAAAGAACTTGGATTCCAAGAAGATCTGGTTTCAATTGCCGAAACAGATAGTTGGAAGCACAAAGATGAAGATATACCTCTTAAATTAAAGCAAACTTGGTCCCAATCAGTTTTAGTAGAAACAGATATTTCAAAATGTGGAGTAATTGATGAAAATGAACCTCCCAATTCCACTAGAAGAAATACATTACCAGCTCCTATGCCTTACAGGCCGATCATACATAGAGAAGTATTGTCTGGAAGCAGAGGACATCTGGTCGAAGGTACTAATAAACCAGTGGTTAAGTTCTCACCTGTTGAAAGAAGCCCAAGATCTGTTCGACCTATACTTGTTGAAAAGAACTCAACAAAACAAGAATCAGAAGCTCAAACAGATATAACAGCAGTACCGTTGCAATGGAGATCAGAAAGCTTCCTTGCTCATCAAAAGGTCTCACAAAATTTCACCACTCTTCCTTCTAAGTTTACACTTCCTTTCTGCCAACGTAAGCAATCTCTTAAGCTTTGTGAAAAAACCCAAGAAGCCCGACGAGTACTGTTATCTGATATTAATTTTACTAGTATGGTTCCTGAATTATCAAGAAGTGCAGATCATTTATGTCAAGAAACACTAATGTCTCGTTACCCTAGAGCATTTTCATATATGAAAAATGTTGATGTACGATCACCTTGTGACTGTGGTAGATGGGAATCAGCTTCACCGTCAGCATTAGATCTTTCAAGACGACACTCAATGAGACCTTCTCTTTCCTCTTTAGATACATATTGGGCTTCGCCTCCTCAAAGGCCTACCTGGGCATCTGTTCCTTCTTCACCTACTCATTTTTATCGGTAAGTTTTCTTTAAAGAATTTTCTATACAGTTTTGTTTACATAAAGGTAAATTTTTTTTTTAAAGGCTTATACTAGTGAAGTTTGTATTCATTCTTTCTGTTTGTTCCTCTTGCCGACAATGTATAAACTTAATTTTTGCTTCTGCAATATTGATTAGTAAACACTTTACCATCAATTATTGTTTCTTGAATTTTAAAAAGGATTTGCAATTTTAGATGAAACTATATTAAATATAGTTATCTAACTTTTCTACCGATGGTAGTATTATAATTTTACATAATTGAAACACTAAAGTTTTAGATACTTATTGCAGCATTTTTATTGCTTTGAGTCTAATCAAATCTTTATCTCTATTTTAATTTCTTTTTTATGAATAAATAGTTAATAAGTGGTAGATTATGTGTACCTACTTATCATGATTAAACTTACATCTCACTTTTTGAACATTTCTGTTGAGAATACTTGGTCAAATAAAGAAATAGTCAACATTTTATTATGAATATTTTTAGAATGTTTCCTAACTTAAAAATATCTTATCTCTAGGGCAAAATGTGTTCCGATTTCATCTAGTTACTCAAAGTGTTCCCAACATTTTGATGGAAATATGGGCTGTGGTCATAGTTTCCAAAGACCTAAAGTGTCTCGAGTTTCTTCTGTGCCTGGAAGACATAAAGTTAAATTTTCAGGTATCATCATTAATAACGTATAATTAATAACATAATATAATTCATTCTTGAAAATAATGATTTTTTTAAATGAAATTTTTTATTGTGAAGATTACAAACTTCACCGCAGTTATCCTGGACAATCTCTCCCAGACCTCAGGGGTGATGAGAGTGAAGAATCCACAGATTCATTGATTGACGAATCAGAAGATTACCTAAGGAAATCGATTGACTCAATTTTAACTGGAACTGAACCCAAGAGGCGCTATACTCGTTCGCATTCTCAACCAGAGTACAATTTAGGTATGTCGTTTAGAAAGACAGAAAAACCTAAAAGATTTTATTATTTTGAAAATGAATTTTAGATTTTAGGGGAAGATGGTCAGAGTTGTCAAAATCAACTAAACAGTAGTATAAAGCTATTTAATTAAATAATTAATACTATTAAAATAATAAAAAGATGTTTTCTTGTATCCTTTTTTAATTTCATTAGCTTCTATTGTGTCTGGAAGCCATAAAGTTCCAGAGTAACCAGAGTACAATTTAGGTATGTCGTTTAGAAAGACAGAAAAACCTAAAAGATTTTATTATTTTGAAAATGAATTTTAGATTTTAGGGGAAGATGGTCAGAGTTGTCAAAATCAACTAAACAATAGTATAAAGCTATTTAATTAAATAATTAATACTATTAAAATAATAAAAAGATGTTTTCTTGTATCCTTTTTTAATTTCATTAGCTTCTATTGTGTCTGGAAGCCATAAAGTTAAATTTTCAGGTACTACCTCTTATAGTAATATTTAGTATATTTATGTTAATAAAAAGAATGGCCTAATAAAAAACCAATAGATTTATCAGCTTAGAAAATATTTTAAAAACTGTTCAACTGTTAGGATAAAAAAATGTTTATCCTTTAAAAAACTATTCAGAATTATATATTTTTATTCTTCTAATCTAGATTTCTGTAAAAAAAAAAAAAAAAAAAAAAAACATTTAAAGAATTAATACTATTTGTTTGTTCATTTTTGACAACAATCTTGATCATATTCTCCTAAATTGATAACATTCTACTATTCCTTCCATAATAAATTAAATTTGAATGTAACACCATGATATATCTGTTTTTATTTATTAGAAGTGATGGAAAGTTGTAGTCAATTGTAATTCAAGATAATTGTCAGTTTTTAACCAAAAACAACAAAATAAATAAGTTATATAAATAAATAAACAAGTAAAAATAGGACAACTTTTCTATTATGATAGTTATTACATGTTTATTTTTTGGCTGCTTAAAAATAGTAAGCTTCTAATCATAATATATATATATATATATATATATATATATAAGCTTAATATTGGCAAAATAGGACTTGCTTTGACAAGTTTTAAAACCAAAAATAAAAAATAAATAAGCTTAATAATAAGTAAGCATTAAATTATAGCTTATTTAATGTAAATCGTTTTTCAGAATTAGAAAAGTATATATTTTCTTACATCAAAAGATTCAAATATTGAGTTTGCTTCATATTATATTATATTCATGGATTTATCCTCAAATATACTGAATGTTATGTGGACAATATCTTAAAAAAAAAAAAAAATCTTATTTAACTTCTTTTACATTAGCTTGACTAGGTCTAAAGTTTAGAGATATTGTTATAATGAATCAATAATAATCCCAGGAACTTAAACTCAATTGAAGTACCTTGTTTCCAGCTGCTTGACATTGTAGACATGCAACCTCTTGAAAACAGTTTATATCAATTTAATTTCATAACTTTGAATTGAAACTTATAGAATTAGGAATTCTTGCTTTTTAATTATTGGGATATTATTTATAAACCAATTTCAAACACCATAAGTGTGAACAATTTACAGGATTAATTATTATAGTAGGTCACATTATTTAACTTTATTTCACTAACAAGTCCTGTTGTGATGTTAGTGAATATTTAAAATTATGGATTTTTCTATTTGCAACTTATTAATTTTAAGTTGTTTTTTATTCCCCACAGTTAATTTTTTAATAGTATTAATTGCTTAATCTAACAAGCATTTTTTTTTATGAATTAATGAAAATCCGTATAATCTTAATTCTTACATTGTGTACTTCAATATTAGTTTTTCAAGTAGCTAATGAAAGTAGAACTGTTAAATAATAGTATGAGATCAGATGAAAGGCTTCTGTAAATCCAATTACCTGCTGGGTTCCACATATAGAGATAATTCTTTCTTCTAAAGTGAAATTTTATAATTTTTAGACTACAAAAATATTGTAAATAATGTTTAATTAAAAAAAAAAATCGTTAGTATTTATTTATTTTTTTACAAAATGCAATCAATATTTTTAATATTAGTTAAAGTATCTTCTCATACAAAACTTAATATAGCAACAAATTTTCATCACTTAATATTAATGAATTAACATTGATTGGAAACTATTAATCTTTCATTTATTTGTTTTCTCGGACAGAATTCGGCAATAAAAACGCAAATTAGGTTGAAATGAATTTTTGGCAAAAGTTAATTTTTTATAGAACTGCTTAGTTCTCTGCGATAAAGTGGACATTAAAATTCAACATAGCTGTTCTGTTTTAAATTTCCTTATTTTTCATTCATTCTTTTTTTTCTTTCATATTTTTAAATTATCACAACATAAAATATTTATATAAAGTTTATATTTATATGATATATATTTAGTTGAAGGATGATAAATTTCTTCTGTTTCAAAGCAACTGATTTGGAACAGATTTAAAGAAAGAACTGGAGCCCTATTTTGGAGTCCAGTCAGGGTTGAGTCAGTTCTTGATGATACGATTGACAAGAACCTTCAATTATGACCCACAAGTTTAGGTTGAAACATTGGTGACTAGATTAAAACATTTTAACTGAAAATTTTACCATACATTTTTCCAAATAATTTTTAAAAAAGTTTAAAAATTTGTATTTATATTTTTTAAAATATTGCAGGATTAAAGCCACCTCGCTGTGCTCAACCTTACTTGGTAAGAGTTGCTTCAGACTTGCACACTGGTCATTGGGTTAAAGTGATTATTGGGGAAGGAAAAACTGGTACTGGACTGGTTCGCTACGTTGGTCCTATTTCTGGTTACGGCGGAGAGCCTTGGGTCGGAGTCCAGCTGGCTCATGGACTCGGGAACACTGATGGGACCTTTAACGGGGCTAGGTACTTTGACTGGTGAGTAAACTACTTTTAAATATATTCTATGGAAAAATTCTAAGTTCTTCCATGTAACCAAAATACATATCGAGTAGATCTGGGCAATATTTTAAATAAAGCAGATTTAAAATATAAAATAAAACACATTTTACGTATTTTATATTTTAACAAGTGAAATGCTTTGTTAAGTCATTCATTTTTAAAATACAAAAACAAAAGTATTTGTATTTTATCTCCATGATATTAAAATACAAAAAAATTATTTTAATTTGTATTTAAAATACCCAAAATAAATTTCCAAATAGAGTAGATTCTCTATATTATAAGGAAGTATGAAAACAATTTATAAGAATTATAGTACTTTTTGCCCATGTCTGGTTTAAATGTCAGTATTGAAAAATCATTACCAAATATTATATGGTTTTTCTAACTGAGGCAATCTATTTGATTTATCATACGATCAACTATCTTCACACGTTATATAAACATATAATGGTTTAGAACATTATTGATAATGTGTCTTTATTATATGAGTCATTCTGCTATTTCATATAGTTTTAGAGATTCAAATCCCACAAAAAAAAAGTGTTTTATTTTTTTTCACTCATTTTTTTTTATCCGTTTCAAGATAGGATTCTAATGATAATGGCTTAAAATCTCTTCATAGATATCAATATAAATGGTGGTGGGACATGAGTATGATTGAATTGAAATCCTGAAGGTGAAGACAACAAAATGCTAATCAGGAAAATAAGTAGAAAATACTCTAATTCAATCCAAGATTTGTTTTGTTATTGATTATGAAGGAATTGCTGGCAAGGAATAAACCAATCAGTTGAGCTAAACAATATTAATTAGTATGAAAGAGGAAAAGAAAAATAATTTATCCACTTCAACATTTGAAAGAAAAAAATTAATGACAAATGATAACAGGCCACTTCAACTCTTTGTTTGCAAACTAAATAATATTTTGGTCGCTGTTCAATCTATTTTCCTGATGTAGAGGAGCAGATTCAGAAGGGAGGGTCGAGGGCTTCCTCTCCCTCACTCCAGGGCTTATGCTATACTAGAATCAATTAAATGATTTACACTTTACAGGCAAATTTATAATTTTTATTAAAATCAGAATACAATTCAAAGTTATGAGTTGAATTATATGAAAGACATATAGAAAAAAAAAATTCCAACTATTTTATTTTACCTTCCCTACCAGTCCCGCAATATCGCATCGCTTCCTGAAGGTGTGGATAGTTCACTGATTAAATGAAATCTATTTTATAGCTTTTGGTGGTGTTAGAGAAATATAAGTGAGGAAAATTAAGGGAAAACACCTGACAGCAAAAACAAAAACAGAAGCACTGAACCTATGACAAAACATGTATTCAAACATTAAAAAAAAAACAATAATTCAATATGCATTATTAGAAAAATAATCATGTCAGAGAAGTAAAATAGCCAATGGCATTCAATAAGCTCTAATGGCCGTAATCCACTTTGATACAAAAAAAAGAAAAAGTAATAGCCAATGACGAGACACAAACAATGGCAATAAAAATTAACTGAAGAACATTAAAACTGAAAATAAAAGTAAATCAGGTTATTTTCAGTTTGATGGGAACCTCTTGCAGTTTACTAACCATGAAAAATAAATATATAAAGCTCAGAAATGAATTGAGCAGACTTTTTCATCAGGATTATGCAAAACACCTTAGGCTGAATAAATATAAAAGTATTTGACTCAAATTAGCTAGCTATTAAGAGATTTCAGAAGTAAGATGTTCTAGTAAAAAACAGTAGATGTTATAGGTGTCTTATCCATGGGTGGTCTAGGACCGACAAACTGCCCCCTGCATATATGCGAACATAATGTTTTAAGGGTTAATTGAAAATTAATTAGTTATCTATCCAAGTGGGGGGGTCTCATGTGTGCATCAGAGGAAAACAAACTGATCATTCATTATTAATTTTGCTGGTTTTCAATCAACTAACAATAAAATTTGTAGATAATGTTTTATTTTTGATTATTGTCTTGTTAATTTTTAAAAAAGAAAATTTGCTGTAAAATATACATTATAATTAAAATGAAGTGAAATAGCCTTTATTTATGCAAACAATTTTACATAATACAATAGAATAAATATACATTATTTAAAGGAGAAAAGAAATTAATAATATTGACTATTTTTTCCCCCGTTTTGGGAGTAATAGTTAGCACTTCCCAGGGTGACTGGTAGACGACATAAATATTAACTTTTTAATAAAAAAATTATCAAAAGAAATTCAGAAAATGATAAGAATCTATTGTATTTCTATTTTTGTAAATAAAATAATTATTATTTATTTATTTTCCTTTTCAGTGATGCTTCTGCTGGTCTGTTTGTCCCTTTTAAAAAAGTTATAATGGCCTGGAGTCTTTAAATATTTTTGACCGTTAGGTAGGGTAATTATTGTCTAGCTTATAAAATTTACTGCAATATAAAACAGCATCATTGTTATCCTCTTTACATTTCCTGAAGGGCAGAAGCTTTGACATTTTTAAAAAGTTGTGCTGTAAAATTCAGATACCATTGATATTCCTCCTTTTATTTATGAACCTTTTTATATATGCTGTTTACTTTCCTTTGTTTTTTTATGTTTTCAATTGTATAATCACTAGGTTTTGTAACATTCCTTAAAATGTTATTATGAGACTGTTAGTTTATATCACTATTAGCAGCTAGATTTATTTGTTATTAGTTTATCTATCATGTTTAATGATCTCCTCAATTTATGATTATTTTAGTTTGATTTTAAACATTTGGTGTTTATTTATGAATTTTCAATTGTTTATGAGTGATCAGCCCAAGTATTTAAGGTCATAATGTTCAGAGTTTCATTTTGAAATTAATAATTTAATAGTCAATGTTTATTTTGTTATTAAATATAATTTTTTTTTTTTAGAGTTTCAATGGTTAAATTAGTATTACTTGTTTGATAATAAATAATAAAATAATAAGCATCTCAGACAATGAGGAAAGTGAGCAAAGAATAAATCTCTAAAAGCATTATTAGTACTAAATCGGAAGGTCATTACAATAGGACTTTTCCAAAATGTAGGTGTGAGGGTTGTTTTATTAGAACCTATCTCGTCGATTTGGTTTTAATGGAGTTAACAGCATCGGACTTTTGGCTTTTTCTTCTTCTCTCTGGATAACTATTTCAGGAAGTAAACAAATTAAATTAGTGGTCCTTCTTAGGCCCCTCAGACTACTCAACAGCTTGGTCCCAAGGTATGGGGCCATATCTGCCTCCGTATGTCCTCTACCAGCTGACGGTTATGCAGAATGTGCGCTATGGTTTTTCGTTTTGGCCATATTCCCATAAGGGGATGGGTTCCATCTTGAATTTCCAGAAGAGATGTAATTTTTTTAGGCGGTTATTTCTAGTCCTGAGCAAAAAAATGACAACCTGTTCTCTTCTTGTTAGCTTAAAATAATCATCTTGATGATTGTGATTTGTGTAACTTGCTTTCTACCTCTGGCTTATGGCTGTTTTGTTAATATTTCCTATAATGGATGTCTGAATATACTCAAGCTTTAATTTTCATTATTTTTTCTTCCTCTTTCTTGCCTTTAAGGCTATATAGGATTTTATAGGGCCAGAGGATGAGGATGTGGGATTTATTAAAAGCCCCTCTCAGCACCGGGACACAAACTTGTCATTATTTTATCAAATTATCTTACACTAGGCTGCCGGGCTAGATGGTGTCCACAAGCCTTAGCCTCCTCGGCCATGCCTCCCTCATTTACTCAGACTATATATATAGAAGGGAGGTGAAATATAATAATCTAAACAAGTCATTTTTAACTGGTATCAGGAGAAGAAACTTAACACATTTTACTCTTGTGTTTTTTGTTAATGCTTTATCACTTTTATTTATTCTTGATTAGTGACTTACAACGGAAGTCATTTGACACAAAACTATATCCCCCATCTATTGTGCTCCCCTGGGTTCATCAATCTACCTGGTACAGGATCTCGTCTTCTTTTGTTGGCTCCTTCTGCTTTACATCCGTAAATAAAAAGTTTGAACTGTGGAAAATTTTCCTCACTTATTAACCGATGAAACTCATTGTCAGTGAGGACATAGATTCCTATGGGTCTCATCATTCTGACCCTTAACTTAATTCAGGCTTCAAATGCATTGCAAGTCCTCATCACATACTCTGCAGTTAATGAAACACCGTACATTTGACATAGAGGACACATCCATACTAAGACTGTGAATCTTGGATCAAAATCCTCCAAGCCCATGGATTTTGGAAAAATCCAATAGTCCGAGATGTAACTTATTATAAAAATACTGTCAAAAGTGATCTTATTACTGAAGGAAAAATGATCCATTATATCAGTTTAACCAACTAACAACTTTGGTCAATGTAGGTCTTCCCTTTTACATTTAAAAAGAATCAATGGGAATTTTGTTCAAAAATTATATATAACATACGTTTTATGGGTGAAGAATTTGCTTTTATTTTTGCTTAGAAATGCTTTTATTTTTCTACTTATTATTTATGAATTTCGGGCTGCATATATCATAACATTGTTAATTAGTTATTATAATAATTGAGTAAAAAAGAACTAAGCCAATTAAGGTTACCAAAATTAGTGACAAGCAAAATATCTTCTCTGGTCTTACATTTGTTTAAAGACGTTGAATCATAGATTTGCTTCTGGTTTTTAAAAACATATGTTATTATAAAAATATTAATGGAGATGAAAGAAAGTATATAATGCCACACCTCTCACCTATTTAGTACTGCAATCAAAAATCTTTCTAGAACTAACATTGATGTTAACAGTCATGTGAAAAGTTTTTTCTTAAACAAAAAAAAAAAAGATTAGTTAGCAAGCTAAAATATTCCATATATAATGCAAATTTGTTTTGTAATAGCAATTTCAATAAGACCATTAATTTTTAAACTGTTTATCTGCTATCTTTATATGGTAATATTTAAGGAATTTTAAACCATACTTCAATAGTCATTTCAAATGTGATTTGTTAACCATTGACAATTCTATTAATTTTATCAGAACATGTATTCCTAAATAAATACCAAATCATAAAAAAATGAAATGACATTGAAAGATGCTCTTTCCATGTTATTTTATTTTAATAATTTTGTATATGATTTAAATGCAATAAATTATATCTATACTTAAATAATGTATAAGTTGCGTTCTTTTAAAGACTAAAGCTGCATCTAGTCCAATTTATTTATTACTCTGAATAATTATCGCTTATAATGTATGACATTTTTTTTTTAAATTATGATTATAGAAGCATTCTATAAGAACATTTATGATATGAATTTCTTTCACTGAGTTATTATTATGTGTTTATTTTATATCGGTGCAATTAATTTATTTTTATTGACTGGAATTTATAGGTGTTTACTTTATTAAATACTTCAACTGAAGTAAATACAAAGTTAGAACTTTGAGTAGATATTTATTTCAGGTGGCCAAAATATCTGATAAAATAAGGTGTAATCGTTCCAAACTAGATTTAAAGTATAAAGTAGCTTTTTACTTAATTAGTGAAGATTGAAGAATAATGAATGATGAAGGAAGCACTGAAAGAGGATTTTTGTTTTATATGCACATATCTAATCTAAAGCTGGGGCAAGATGTTATGTTCTCTCTGTTTTGTAACAAAATTCACTATTTGCCTCCTCCGTTTCAGTTTTTTTACCTGTTCAGTTTTTTTTTTTTTTATCTGATAAATATTCACCTTTTTCATTTTACTTACGAGAGTAAAAAATTTACCTATTTCGATGTATATCTTACTCCTTGAGGAATACCAAGAAACATTACGTACTTCTAATTGATAAAGTTAAAATAATATAAGTCAATTTTGCTTTTTGTCCTGAAAGTGAATATTTTGTAAATATACTTTAATCATATATATTTCATTAAAGTACATTTACAAAATATTCGCTTTCAGGACAAAAAAAACAAAACAAAATTGATCTTCTTTATTGTCATTCTAATTCCGTCAATTGTCTAAAATTTGGGAATGTCAGGTCCCAGCTTATGATTAATATGTAAAAAATATTCATTAAACTTTTTTTCAATTGGATGTTTTTTTTATTCTGTATTAAGAAATTTTTGTGATACATTATCTAGTCGTTATCCTTAATGTGAATATACCATGTATAATCAAAATACTATTTATTGATACTTATCAATAATTATTTATTTGAAACTAGTTAATTGCTAGTTTCGTTTATATTCATCAACTATGCTTTGTTATTCTATGTGAACATTTTGTTTTAAATCTATTGCTTCTGATAAATATCGTTAATACGAATGCTAACTATTGAATCTGAAAATAATCACTTTTCTGAAAACAAAAAAAACACTAATATCATTATCAATTCAGTCCAAGCAACGAGGATGTTTTAATTTCAACGCTAATATATGTTTTTATGAATGTTTAAAGGTTTTATATTCGCTGTATAAAAATATTTAATTACAGTTACAATCACTAGAATGCATGATTGAAAATGGCAATTTTTCATATTCAACAGATAGATAGCATTTGTATCAACGATATGTCTGTTTCATTAATTTAATGATTGTTATTTTGTTTATATTGTTTAATTTCTTTATAATTTATAGACCAAATTGACTACAAAATTTACTTTATAATAATTTTAAAATATGAAATAATTGAAGAAACAACAGTTGAGTAGCAGCAATGCTGATTTTTTTTTTTTATCTTATTTGTATCAGTAAATTTTTATTTATTTAAGTTTATAGAACATAGTTTGAATCTCTGAAATAATCTTTATTTTCAATTTATATCAGGAGAGTTTCTTTGTCTTTTTTTAGTGATAATTTCTAGTCATTTTATATATTTTTCATCACCTTAAATATTTTGTTACTTTATTTATTTTATGTTATTAGAAGTACCATATTTCTGTATATAGTTTCTAGTAAGATGTGAATATTTAAAAAAAAAATGAAATGGAGTATAGTATTTTCAAGAAATGTCCCATTTATCATGAAAAAACATTGTCATGTACGCTCGGTGAATAGTAAGTAGTCACAAAATGTTAAGGATAGTGATTTTTAATTATTTAAAATTTAATATCTTCATAAACTGTGCCATGTAAATGAAATAGACTATTAAAATATTGTATTCAGTTTGTCCACAATTCATTGTTAATTGTTTTAACTTGAAAACTAAACTATAAACAAATAAATAGCTTTTATTTTTATAGTAGGTATTTATTTATTAATATTTTTATCTTGACAATAACTTGATATTTGTGTTGCTAAATATGATTTCAATCAATTAATACATTTTAGGCGGGTGACTATTGCCTATATTCCTGCCTGTAAGTTCAGTCACGTTTGTAAAAGTTCTATTC